TTGCTGAGGAGATTTGCAGATTAAATGGAGAATCACAGACACTCGAGCACACCGTCTGAACATTAATTAGGTCTTAAAGAGAAGCTTCTCTCAGTCTCTGTGCTTTAATTCTAATCTGGGTTTACATCACTATACAGACATACATACAGTGACCACGCAAAGTATTCAGACCCTCTTAAATGTTTCACTCTTTGTTAAATTGCATCATTTAAGTTCATTTTTTCCTCATTATTGTACCAACAGCACCCCGTATTGACAGTTAAACACAGACATTGTTGCAGATTTATTAAAAAAGAAACTTTGAAATATGAATATATTCTAAATATTCAGACCAAGTTCTTTCACACCTGGATTTGGGGATCCTCTGCCATTCCTCCTTGCAGATTCTGTCCAGTTCTGTCAGGTTGTATGGTAAACATTGGTTGGACAGCCATTCTTGGGTTTCTCCAGAGATGCTCAATTGGGTTTAAGTCAGGGCTCTGGCTGGGCCATTCAAGAACAGTTACGGAGTTGTTGTGAAGTGACTCGTTTGTTAGTTTAGATAGATAGATAGATGGATGGATGGATGAATGGATGGATGGATGGATGGATGGATGGATGGATGGATGGATGGATGGATGGATAGATAGATAGATAGATAGATAGATAGATAGATAGATAGATAGATAGATAGATAGATAGATAGATAGATAGATAGATAGATAGATAGATAGATAGATAGATAGATAGATAGATAGATAGATACTGTACATACATACATACATACATACATATGGAGGCGGATGGGCTACAGCAGCAGAAGAGCACACCGGGTGCCGCTCCTGTCAGCTAAGAACAGGAAACTGAGGCTACAATTCACACAGACTCACCAAAACTGGACAATAGAAGATTGGAGAAACGTTGCCTGCTCTGATGAGTCTCCATTTCTGCTGCCACATTCGGATGGTCGGGTCAGAACATGAAAGCATGGATCCATCCTGCCTTGTATCAGCGGTTCAGGCCTTTGGGTGGTGGTGTAATGGTGAGGGGGAGATTTTCTTGGCACTCTTTGGGCTCATTAGTACCAATTGAGCATCAACGCCACAGCCTACCTGAGTATTGCTGCTGACCATGTCCATCCCTTTATGACCGCAGTGTACCCATCTTCTGATGGCTACTTCCAGCAGGATAACACACCATGTCATAAAGCATAAATCATCTCAGACTGGTTTCTTGAACATGACAATGAGTTCACTGTACTCAAATGGCCTCCACAGTCACCAGATTTCAATCCAATAGAGCACCTTTGGGATGTGGTGGAACGGAGATTGGCATCATGGATGTGCAGCCGACAAATCTGCAGCAACTGCGTGACGCTATCATGTCAATATGGAGCAAAATCACTGTAGAATGTTTCCAGTATCTTGTTGAATCTACGCCATGAAGGATTAGGGCAGTGCTGAAGGCAAAAGGGAGTCCAACCCACTACTAGTAAGGTGTACCTAATAAAGTGGCCGGTGAGTATATAATGTGCTTAATGACTAACTTAATGATTCTTTGTTAATGATTCATCTTTCGTTATTATATTAAGTATTGCATCATTTACAAACCAGTTATTTAAGAGTAGCTGGTGTTTGTTAAAGATCATTCTGAATGCACAAATCAATGATTAATAAACTATTCAAATTCACATCTATATAGCGTATTATTTAACCACTTTTTAATAGTTACTTTGTAAGTTAATAACAATTCATTCATTTATACATTTCATTACAAAAATACATTTATGTATTCAAGAATTGTGCATCTGATCCCAGTACAGTGCTCAGTAGTTTGCTCTGAGTGAAATGCTGAAGTTTTGTTTTTGTGTCGAGCTCCAGGCCAAAAGACCACCCAAAAACCCACCCACGCTTCTCCAGCTTTACAGAGCGCTGAGAGAGAGAGAGAGAGAGTGTGTATGTAACATGCAATGTTACTACGATGCATGTTTAATCATTTCAGAATGTAATTATCCTCTCTACTCTGTAAAAATGACAGAATATCACTATAACAAAGTTTGTTAGCTTATAGAGCCTCCTCCATTACGGTTTTTTGAAAATGAGCTTCATTCAGTGTGTAACAGCTCTAAGTGAATGAAAACATCCAGCTGAGGTTTAAATCTGAAAGTGCATCATGTTTAAAACTATTGATTTTTAAAGGAAAGCCAGTCGAATGAATGATTTGTTTTGTGTTTGGATCTTTTGGTATACCAGAACGCGCCTTTTTCAACAAAATGAATCGCTGAACAGATCATACAGGAGTCGGTGGGATACTTAGGCAAAAATAAATGCAGATTATAAGACAATGAAAGTGTTTTGACATCGGCCTGTTGTTGGAGACCCCCAAAACCAAAATATGACCTTTTATAATGCATAATAGCTGCGTAATTACAATAAAAGAGATCCGAGACGTGACTCGCCACAGATAACAGTTGCGGGGGGGTTAAAGTTCCATATCATAACTGGCTTCTCTGTCTCCTCTCCACCAATCAGCTGGTGTGTGGTATGCAGTCTGGCGTGTCGTCCAGGTGGATGCTGCTATATAAATGTAGGGAATTATTACTATTATATTATTGTTATTATTAAATTACATCAGTCTAGTGTCTTAATCATCACAGAAAGCATCTGCAGTTTAAAGATAAAGCAGCTGTATGTCAGTATGACAGTGATTATTAGCGTATTTAATCCAAATTACCTGCAGATGTTTCCAGGGAAACCTTCATTCAGTGATATTCGGCTGCACACTGCTTATAAATGAACGTGATTTTTACACAAATATGATGCAAACAGATTTGATTTCGCCGTAATAATCAGCATAAGGGTCTGCGAATGTTTGCTCATTTCCAGAGGTCATTTCTGTAGTTAAAATGTTTATATTTGTTTTGAAAACAGACTTTTTAAATAGGGTTAAGCTTGATACGTGTGGTAATTAAAGAATATTCCTTCATTCATTCATTTTCTTCCTTCTTTGTCCCTTATTTATCTGAGGTCGCCACAGCGGAATGAACCGCCAACTTATCCAGCATATGTTTTACACAGCGGATGCCTTTCCAGCTGCAACCCAGTTCTGGAAAACACCCATACACACTCATACTCTACTAATCAATTCTCCTGTACAGCATGTGTTTGGACTGTGGGGGAAACGGGAGCACCCGGAGGAAACCCACACCAACACAGGGAGAACATGCAAACTCCACACAGAAATTACAACTGACCCAGTCGGGACTCGAACTAGTGAGCTTCTTGCTATGACAACGCTAACTAACCACTATGCCACCTTGTCTGCTCCCCATCTGAATGTTGAATAATAATGAGATGGACATGAGATCAGTGCATGTATGTCTGTAATGAATGGAACCGATCTGTTGTGTATTTCAGAATCTGCCAGCTCATCGTCGGCGGCTGATGATTATTACAGTTTTTGGTCTTGTTGCCACGGTTACCGCATTATCTTTCAGATTATTCTGGTATGTTAATTCTCTTCGCTCGCCGCTGCTTTTGTCTCGGCGCAGTTCAAGTTTTAGAATGTGTTCTAATTATTCCTTTTTACCGGGAAATAGCCACCAGGTGATGTTTGAAGTGAAAGGTGTTGCCTGGCAACAGGCGCATTAAACACTGACGCGCTCTTTCTCTCATCTGTCAATCATCTCATCAGAGTCATTTCCAGCTTTACAGCATGCATGAATACTACAGTAGAGGCGTGCTTTACTGTGTGTGTTCACTCTGATGACGCTAATGTGTTCCAGATGTGAGCTGGGCTTTGGGACTGGACTGGAACTGAACACTGGTGACCTCTGACCTGCTGTTCCGAAGAGGAAACGCTGGGAAAAACCAAACTGACGAGACTGCTGTGAATGTGAGTTCTCAGCGCCACCTGCTGGACAATAAATGCTGGTGCGCTTAAACAACATTCATTCATTTTCCTTCGGCTTTTAGTCATTTTATTCATCAGGGGTCGCCACCAACTTATCCATCATGTGTTTTACACAGCGGATGTCCTTCCAGCTGCAACCCAGTACTGGGAAACACCCATACACACTCATTCTCACACACACTCATACACTACGGACAATTTAACTTACTCAGTTCCCCCTATAGCGCATGTCTTTGGACTGTGGGGGAAACCGAAGCACCAGGAGGAAACCCAGGCCAACACGGGGAGAACATGCAAACTCCACACAGAAATGCCAACTGGAGGGGGGGCTCTTCACTTTCGTCCGCGACCAAATTCAAAGGGGGGCTAATGATTCTGACTTCAACTGTATATAATATAAATATAATATAAAATCAAATCTAATCTATCGTTAGGATGATTTTAAGGGCCCACAAATCTAGGGGGCTCCCAGAGACATTATTAAGGGCCTCCATCATGAGCTTGGAGGACTGCATCTATACATCTCTGCAATGACTCAAATCACTGATTAATAAAGTCATCTGGAATGAAGAAGAAAGCGTTCCTGCAGGACTCCCAGAGTTCATCAAGGGTCTTTGTGTTCATCTTCAACGTCTCCTCCTTCATCTTACCCCAGACATGCTCAATAATGTTCATGTCTGGTGACTGGGCTGGCCAATCCTGGAGCAGCTTGACCTTCTTTGCTTTCAGGAGCTTTGATGTGGAGGCTGAAGTATGAGAAGGAGCGCTATCCTGCTGGAGAATTGTCCCTCTCCTGTGGTTTGTAATGTAATGGGCAGCACAAATGTCTTGATACCTCAGACTGTTGATGTTGCCGTCCACTTTGCAGATCTCTCGCACACCTCCATAATGAATGTAACCCCAAACCATGATTTCTCCTTCACCAAACTTGACTGATTTCTATGAGAATCTTGACTCCATGTGGGTTCCAGTAGGTCTTCTGCAGTATTGGTGATGATTGATGCAGATCAACAGATGATTCATCAGAGATGTCTATGTAACAAAATGGTTTTGTATAGTTTTGTTTCTATCACATACACATAGTACTATATATAATACTGACACATATGTCAAAACAAACTTTTATTTTGAGTGAAATTAATTGTGATTAATTGATGCCCAGCCCTAAAAAATATTATATATATATATATTATATATAATATATATAATTTGTCGTTTTCATGTTTCAGGCTGCGGGGGATTCTGAGAAGGGTGCGTCTTCTTCAAGCAAAGTTGTTTTTGAGGAAGTTGATGAGGCCGTTGGTGGAGGAATCATGAGAGCTGACCTGAGCTGAATCCTGGAGCTCCGGCTCGATCTTTTTCGCCAGCTGTTTACCCAGCTCAACCCTGAGACAGAGACAGAGAAGATCATCTGTGAAAATATCCCTAAATTAGCAGTTTTGTGATTCATTTTTTATTTCCGCCCGTTTATTTCTGCTTTTGAATTGCATTATGGAAGCTTGATCTTTCTTACAACAACTTTTAACCTTGAAAAGTTTGTAAAAGTGACATTTACGATCATTTGTAATAGTTTGCAGTGATATATTGTTCTGGTTGGAGTTTATATTACACTACAAACACCTTGTGATAAATTGCGATTATTTTACAGACTTATTTCTCTATATATTATTATTTATTTTACATTAGATTACTTCAAACTATTAAAATGTCAATAAAAGTCACTTTGTTCAACAGTAGAGTTGAATTTTCAACATCAAAAGTGGACAAAGCAGAGATCAACATCCCATAATGCAATTCAAAACAATAACTTTAGCTGTTTATTTATAATCCAGATTCAGAAACTCACCCCCACTGATCAAAGCTGTTGATTTCCCACATGACGCCCTGAATGAAGATCTTGTGTTCATACATGGCTGATGTTGAGAGAGGTCAGAGGTCAAGAACATGTGTATAATATTACTAATATTGACCATACAGTATGAGAATACAGAAGATTGAAAACAGCTATAAACACACCGATCAGCACACCCAGAGTGAACGGAGAGAGCTTCTTGAAGACGATGGAGTTTGTTGGCTTGTTTCCCTGGAAAACCTGCACAGAAACATATGATGATGAGGATGAGGTAACAGCAAAGAGGTATCAATTTACTGTGCAGAATATTGAGTAATACTAATATGTCATTTCTTATATTATATATACAGCTGAAGTCAGAATTATTAGCCCCCCATTGATTTTCTTCTTCTTTTTTAAGTATTTCCCAAATGATGTTTAACAAAGCAAGGAAATTTTCACAGTGTGTCTGATAATATTTTTTTCTTCTGGAGAAAGTCTTATTTCTTTTATTTCAGCTAGAATAAAAGCAGTTTTAAATTTTTTTAAAACCATTTTAAAGACATTATTATTATTAGCCCCTTTAAGCTATTTTTTTCGATAGTCTACAGCGCAAACCATCCTTATACAATAACTTGCCTAATTATAACCTGCCTAGTTAACCTAATTACCCTAGTTAAGCCTTTAAATGTCACTTTAATCTGTATAAAAGTGTTTTGAAGAATATCCAGTCAAATATTATTTATCGTCATCATGCTAAAGATAAAATAAATCAGTTATTAGAGATGAGTTATTAAAACTATTATGATTAGAAATGTGCTGAAACAATCTGCTCTTTGTTAAACAGAAATTGAGGAAAAAATAAACAGAGGCGCTAATAATCCTGATTTCAACTATATATAATCATGCCTACTGTTTTCTTTGTGATAAATGAAATACCTATTAAGTTTTTCATATCTGAAATTAAATTCATCATTCATGTATTCATAAATCCTCCAAACGATCATATTTTACATTGTTCTAGTAACCTAAATATGTTGGCGCATGTGATTTGCACATTTAAAACGACCAAAGTGAACTGATAAACTAATAAATGCTATAGTACACTTTAGTTTTTATTACAGTAAACTGTGGTGTTTTGTAAAACACAACTATAAAATTACCACAACAGATTATTTTAAGGATTTTAATGTTCTTCAAAAACACTAGTATTTACGATAATGGACTTTAGTATTTGTTATGTGGAAACTAAATTAACAGTATTTTAATCAAGCTGATGTATTCCTTCTAGCAACATCCTTATTTCAGCTGCACAAAACAGTCGGTTTAGAATTATTTATATTATTTATTAAATTGCCCTTAAACTGTATTTCATCAATGTCTACTCCTAAACCTAGCCTTCGCAGTAATGTAAAAATATAAATTATTGTTGTGCAGTGTCAGATTATCCACGCTGTATCCCTTCTAGACTTAGTCGGTTATGCGATTATTGGTAGAACTTAGAAGGGATACAGTTGTAGCCAGAAGTTAACTAAATTTATTTATATTATTTATTAAATGACCCATTCATTGTATTTTATTAACGTTTACCCCTACTAACGCAATGTAAAAGTATTAATTGTTGTACAGTGTCACAAAAATTAGGCTATATTGATGTTGTGATTATCTGTAGATCATCGGTTATACGGTTGTTGCTTGAAGAAATACATCTGTCGCCCTAAGTTAACTAGAATTTGTTATATTATTTATTAAATTACCCATTCTTTTAAATTTTATTAAGGTCTACTCCTACCCCAACCCTCACAGTAATGTAAAAATATCAATTATTGGTATACAGTGTCACAAAAATCATGCGAGTGAGTATCCGCAGATGTCCAGACTTTACCTGAAATAACCGTAAACGAGCGACACCGGAAGTCTCGCAAATATACTTGATATAAATGGCGCGCGTCCTCTTTCACGACGAAAATATTGTTGATAATGATATGTAATTTCGGCAAACGTGTTCCAAAATCCACACACGGTGTACATTAAACATGCTGAAGGAGTGTTGCGGATGTAGTGTGCCCTGCAGAGGTCAGTATAGTCTCGGTTTTCTCCTCACTTTGTGCGGTAGTATTTTCTCCAGGTTGTCTCCGCTCAGTCCTCCCGCCTCCAGCTCTTTCTTCGCCTCTTCTGTTGTTTTCCCCTTCATCAGCGCCTCAGTTTGAGCCAGAAAATTCGCCAACAGAATCTACGAGTCAAATAACACAATTTTATATAGGCTTAAAGCAGCTTCACTTTAAAAAAATAGGAAAAGAGATGATGCCAACCTTCGAGGACTTCGTGACAACACATACACAAATACACTTCATTGAACATGTACACATAGACATCACCTGTATACTATATAACTGCAGGATAATTATGCTTATAATAACTTAACCACAACAATACGCCACAGTTTCCCATGTTTAAAATACTATAGTATTTAGAGTAAATATATTGTTTTTGAACCACATAGTTAAGCACTTGATGTGGTGTGGTAGATATATAGTTGCCATGGTAACACTAAAATTATAGTAATAAACACAAATGACCAAACACTTTAGTTTTACTGTAGTTTACCACAACAGTGCACCACAGTTTCCCATGTTTAAAATACTATATTAATTTAGAGTAAATATTATAGTGTTTTTAAACCACATAGTAAAGCACTTGATGTGTTGTGATAGATATATAGTTACTATCGTAACACAAAAACTATAGTAATATACACAAATGACCCAACACTGTAGTTTACCACAACAATACACCAGTTTCCCATGTTTAAAATTCTTTAGTAAATTATTAGAGTACATATTATAGTGTGAACCATGTAGTTAAGCACTTGATGTGTTGTGGTAAATGTAGTTACTATGGTAACGCAAAAAAAGTATAGTAATATACACAATTGACCCAATACTGGAGTTTGACTGTAGTCAAAGAGCTTAGAATGACCATGAGGCGACACTTAATAGAACGTTTCATTGCAACAGCAGCGCCCAGCAACAGCTCTGAATTCCACCATTTTGGAGTGAAAGTGATAGGCCGTCTATTGGATTTTATTGCTGTCGCAATGGCAAGCAGCTGCTTTGTTTTTTATTTATTTATTTAAAAATCTGAGATACAGTCAGAAAGATGACAATACTGCACTTACGATGACAATCATCAGCACTTTTAATAGTTTATTTTAAAGACTTATAACATGCTGTTGTTCTATTGGAGTTTTCATTCCCAATCTAGTGCCATCTAGTGGCTGTTTACTAAATCGCACAAGAGTGTCGCCTCTTGTTGGTTCTATGCTCTTTGCTGTAGTTTACCACAACAATACACCACAGTTATCCATGTTTTAAATATTATAGTAATTTAGAGTAAATATTATAGTGTTTTTGAACCACACAGTAAAGCATGTGTTGCGATAATTGTATTGATGATTGTGATTTACATGTATAAAAAAGTGAATGTAAATTCATAATTATTAATAATTAAGTTATTAATAATGATTAAAGTATTATTAACAATAAATATTATCAGTTCAAGAATTAATAATTCAAGAATTATTAATACTTTAATTATTACATTAATAATAATGATTCATTATTGAAGTATTAGTATTTATTGGTCATAATACTTTAATAATTAATCAAATGATTATTTAAATTTATATTAATTATTATTTATAGTAATTTAAGAATAATTATTAAATGTAAAATTGAACTTAAATTTTGTTCAACTGACTTAATTTGACTAAAAGATTAATTTAATTAAACTTAAAAATGGTTAGCAACGATGTTATTTTTAACAGTATATCATAACTCGTATAAATAAGTTTTATTATTAAAAATAAATTGGTCAAAGGGAACCTATACTGCAGAAAACACTGTTATAAAAGGTTTAAACCCAATTGTGTGTCAGCAACGTGTGAATATAAGCAGCCTCTAATGGTACAAATGTAATAATTTTATGTTTTTTTAGTCACAGTTGATTATACATTCTCCCTTTGTATGTCATCAGAGGGGTTAAGCCCCGCCTACTAGTGACTATCTCGCCCTCATTAGCATATGACCGTAGTCTTGTTTTTGAATCTGCCACTATGCTAACACATAGGAATTTGTAGCTCCGCCCTCTTTTCAAAAAAGCACAATCTCATTTGAATTTAAAGCGACAGTCACCAAAACACCACAATTAGGATCAAAGCCTAAAAGAGTCAGATTCAAAGAGTTATAAACATTATTTGTGTGTTTTTTCATGTTTAAACTTCACACACACTCTCCTGGGACATCAGAGATGCATTTAACATCTTGTAAAAAGGGGAATAATAGGTCCCCTTCAAGATATTTCAATACAAGCATTTAAAAGCATTAACCTGCAGGGAAAAATCAGCTGTTAGGACTGAGCAACACTCAGTACCTTGTGGTGAAGGCTGTTTCTGATTGGATGTTGAGTTTGGGCAGGAATGAGGAAGTCAGCAGGAACCATTCGAGTCCCTGTGGAGAGACAGAAGGGTCAGACAAAACATGCATTGCTGAAAAGTGTGGATATTGCCGCAGAAAAATCAGATAAGAGATAAAATTAACGATATATCATATAAGCTTATCCACACGTTTAAGCATCCTAGAAAATATTAATTTAAAAGCGAGATCTGTGAGGGGTGCACTCATATATGCTGAGCACTGTATATATATACTGTCAGAATTATTAGCCCTCCTGTATGTTTTTGTTCCCCAATTTCTGTCTAACGGAAAGAAGATTTGTTCAACACATTTGTAAACATAATAGTTTTAATAACTCATCTCTAATAACTGATTTATTTTCTCTTTGTCATGACGACAGTAAATAATATTAGACTAGATATTCTTCAGGATACTAGTATTCAGCTTAAAGTGACATTAAAAGGCTTAATTAGGTTGAAGTTAGGGTAATTAGGCAAGTTAATGTATAACAATGATTTGTTCTGTAGACCAGGGGTTCCCAAACTTTTCAGCTCGAGACCCAAAAATAACAATAAAGAGCGACCCTCACTATCCTCTGAGGTGGTAATAAACAAACAAACATTGCACATAACAGTGCGCACACACACACACACACACACACACACACACACACACCAGCAGGAACTATATACACGAGCATATTGACAACACAAAAAAGTGCAACAGTTTAACAATTAAACTTTTTATAGTTATTATTCATTTGTTAAATTTAATATTAACCTCTCTTAATAAAAATGGTGGGCACAATGTTTATAGCACAAGACTATTCTTGGTTTAATTTTGAAGACTGCCACTCGGAGATCGTCCTATATGTTCAGTCGTGGCCTGTATTTTTAATGTACAGTTGAAGTCAGAATTATTCGCCCCCCCCCCCCCCATATTTATTTTTTCCCCAATTTCTGTTTAATGGAGAGCAGATTTCTTTAGTACATTTCTAATCATAATAGTTTTAATAACTCATCTCTAATAACTGATTTATTTAACTTTGTCATGATGACAGTAAATAATATTTGACTGGATATTCTTCAAGACACTTCTATACAGCTTAAAGTGACATTTAAAAGCTTAACTAAGTTAATGAGGGTAACTAGGCAGGTTAGGGTAATTAGGCATGTTATTGTATAACGATGGTTTTATTCTGTAGACTATCGAAAAAATATAGCTTTAAGGGGCTAATAATATTGACCTTAAAATGGTGTTTAAAAAATTAAAAACTGCTTTTATTCTAGCCAAAATAAAACAAATAAGAATTTCTCCAGAAGAAAAAATATTATCAGACATACTGTGAAAATTTTCTGAATCTGTTCAACATCATTTGGGAAATACTTAAAAAAGAAAATAAATTGAAAGGGGGGTGAATAATTCTGACTTCAACTGTATGTGAGCACCGTAGAGGTGTCAAAGTTTAACATTGCTGTAAGATCAATCTGCTACAACTAACACTATTGCTGTGTCACATATCTAGCGTAATACCCCAGGGGTCGCAATCCAATGGAAAAAGAATTGAATTTTATGCCACTATTAAATACTTTTTTCATCTTCTGCAGGTTATGGATGAAATATGGTAATTAAAATTGTTTATTAACACCTATGATATTTTTAGAAATCACCCAGTGACTACCTCTTCATTGTCTCGCGATCCTCACTTTGGGAACCACTGCTGTAGACAATCGAAAGTTAATATTGCTTAAGGGGGCTATTGACATTGACCTTAAAATGTTTTTAAAAAAATGAAAAACTGGTTTTATTCTAGTCGAAATAAAACAAATAAGACTTTCTCCACAAGAAAAAATATGATCAGACATACTGTGAAAATGTCCTTGTTCTGTTAAACATCATTTGGGAAATATTTGAAAAGGAAAAAACACGGATAATATGAGTGAGTGCTGTTCACCCTGGTGGATGAGCTGGTAGAAAGCGTGCTGTCCGTTAGTTCCTGGTTCTCCCCATACGATGGGTCCAGTGTGATAGTTCACCCGCGTGCCTTTAGTCGTGATGTACTTTCCATTGGACTCCATGTCACCCTGTGAAAATTTACAGCATTATTTTTTTGTGATCTTGATGTTTTCACTATTGATATGAGATGCAGGTCAGCTTTGTGTGGTGTTGTGTACGTGTGCTTGTCATGGAAGCTTGATTCAAGCTAAATCATTCATTTTCTTTTCGGCTTAGTCCCTTTATTAATCTGGGGTCGCCACAGCGGAATGAACCGCCAACTTATCCAGCATATGTTTTATGCAGCGGATGCCCTTCCAGCTGCAACCCAGTACTGGGAAACATCCACTCACTGTTATTCACACATACACTACACCCAATTTTAGCTTACTTAATTCCCCTATAGGCATGTGTTTGGACTGTGGGGGAAACCGGAGCACCCGGAGGACCACGCCAACACGGGGAGAACATGCAAACTCCACACAGAAATGACAACTGACCCAGCCGAGGCTTGAACCAGCAACCTTCTTGCTGTGAGGTGATTGTGCCCACTGCGCCACTTTGACGCCCTTTTCTGGAGATATTCAAATATATATCAATTCAGTTGTACAACTCAGCTGTAATTTTACAACTCTAAATTCAGATTTTATTTAATTTTTATTTCAAATTGTGAGTTTCAGACTTTCAACTGAGCAATTCTGATGTGTTTTCCTTTGGAATTTGTACTTAAATCTTGCGATTTTAACGTTATGGGTGGCACGGTGGCTCAGTGGTTAGCGCTGTTGTCTCACAGCAAGAAGATCACTGGTTTGAGTCCCGGCTGGGTCAGTTGGCATTTCTGTGTGGAGTTTGCATGTTCTCCCTGTGTTGGTGTGGGTTTCCTCCGGGTGCTCCGGTTTCCCCCACAAGTCCAAACACATGCGCTATAGGGGAATTGATGAAATAAACTGTCCATAGTGTATGATTGTGTGTGTGTGTGTGTGTGTGTGTGTGTGTGTGTGTGTGTGTGTGTGTGTGTGTGTGTGTGTGTGTGTGTGTGTATGGGTGTTTCCCAGTTCTAGGTTGCAGAAATTTTTTTCTCTAAATTCTTAGATTGCATGTTGCAATTCTGATTGTTTTTTTTTTCTTTCACTTGGAGTCCTAAATATATTTTATTTGATTAATTTTATTTAATTTTAATAGTTAATAAGCAATTGCATTTCTTTTTAATTTGCTAGTTTAAAATTGTGAAATGAGCACAATCTTAGATTAAACACTTTATAGTGTTGTTTAATAGTATTGTTAGAATTAGTAAGCACAATTTTATTAGAATTACTATTCAACTACAGTTGTATAAACCAGTGTTGCTAGACGTTCGATAATTATCGTATTTGTACGATAATTTCGACCTCTGTACGATGTACGATCAATAATGAGAAAAATCCTATAATGTACGATAATTTCAGAATTTTATGGCATTTAAAAGTAACTTCATTGTAATGTTCGGGCTTCTTTACTTATTGATCTAGCTGCATCTTTTCTGTGCTGTCTGTGAGGAGTAGGTGGAGTTCTCTTCTCTTCTCAGCCAATCAACGTGGAGAATGGCTCCCTCTCACGAGTTAACGCTCCTGCTGCGCGTGCCCGTGGTTAGGTCAGTAGTTTTCAGTTTGAAGTCGATCTTTTAAGCAATAATGTTAAAACAATTCGTGCTGTAAAGGAAGGTGAGAAAGACGGGAGTTTTCTCTTGATGTCCTCCTTTTTCCCCATTCAAATGCGTCTTGTGAACATGTTTTTAACAAAGTTAGTCTCATCAAAACCAAGCATGCACACGTCAGAAAATAAATCCCTCAACATCTGGCAACATGCAACATTCAATGACAGCAACTCAGAGGTGGAGTTTGAACCTTCCCACTAAGGTACCTAGTTTTTTTTTATGTATTGTGGTAATTTGCACGTTGTGTCAAAACGCTATGTGTCTAGATAATAGTTGTATACTCTCAGTTTGACTCGTGTGCGATAATCTTCCTCCAAATACGATAATTTTGAGGTTCTGGTACGATACTTTGACATTTCTAATCTGGCAACACTGGTATAAACTCAAAAACTGAAAGATAATATATTGCAGTAATGTTGTGTTTTCATTCGCACAGTCCTCCATTGTTGTTGTGTGTAGGCAGTACAGTGTTGTGAGTGTTGGAGACTGTTGGCACCTGTTGAAAATAAGCAGCGAAGCGGTGCATGTACTGATCGTACGGCAGCAGACAGTGAGTCTCCGCCTGGAAGAAGTTGATGTACCAGATTCCCAAAAGGGCGAGCAGCATGGGTGCGTTCTGATCTACAGGAGCCGTGCGGAAATGAGTGTCCTGAAAAAGATGCATATACAGGAGTTAAGGTACGCTTTTTGAAAGAAATGAATGCTTTTATTCAGCATGGAGCATAAATTGATAAAAAAAGAACAGTAAAGAGTGACTCTTTATTAAAATAAGTGCAGTTTATTTATAAACTAATTTCGAGAGGATCACGTGCTTATGATTGCTTGCGGCCGGTCCTCCATTATTCAATTGATGATTGACCAATCAGACGAATTCTAAGCCACTATAAATGCCATAAGTTCCATATAACAGCCATCTTCGTTTTGAAGAATCCCCCCTTCCACCCCTACTCCTCCTTGTTTCCTAGATGGGCGGCACAGTGGCCTAGTGGTTAGCACTGTTGCCTCACAGCAAGAACGTCACTGGTTCTAGTCCTTACCAAGCCAGCCAACATTTCTGTGCAGAGTTTACACATTCTCCCCATGCTCACGTGGGTTCCCACGAGTTCCCGGGTTTCCTCCCACCGTCCAAAAACATGCAACTTAAGTTAATTGACTAACTCAAATCAGCACCATAGACATGCTCCAAGTAAGTAGTTAAGAGTAAGTACTTAAGAGCGATCACTATCTGTTCATCAGCTACAACAGCAGGGCAGTTCTCCAGATCTACATGAGCTCAAACTCCACTTTGCCTTGCAAATGGGAGGGAGCCCCGGGCTCGAGGATCTTTTGAGCTCAGGGCTCTCTCCCGAGACAGCATGCCAAACAAGCTTTATAATCAATCATCAGCTAAGTGTGAACTCTTGAAACACTTATGGATGCACTGATGTTGAATTTTTGACCAATACCAATAAATGACAATAGTAATGACTTTTGTAGACAGTTCAGTTTCTTATGGGTATTGTGATGAATGGCAATTCAACAAAACATTTAGACCATTTTGGGCACTGTATGTACACTACCTTACAAGAGTCAGAAGTGGCTCATATGAAAGGCAAAGGCCTCTAGATTACACTCATTTGAGCACAATAAAACATGATCATGCCCTGATGTTGAATGATTTGATTAGGACAGTAAGGTCTGACTCTGCTTAGACTAAAGTCTCATCACTGAACAGAAATAATGTCCAGTATGGAATATAAAGTCCTGCTGCAGTGGAGACAGAATGAATATTGTGTCTGACTCCATCATGAGCTTGGAGGACTGCATCCATACATCTCTGACATGACTCAACTTACTGATTAATAAAGTCATCTGGAATGCCAAAGAAAGCGTTCAGCAGGACTCCCAGAGTTCATCAAGACTCTGTGTTCATCTTCAATGCCTCTTACTTCATGCTCAATAATGTTCATGTCTGGTGACTGGGCTGGCCAATCCTGGAGCAGCTTGACCTTCTTTGCTTTCAGGAGCTTTGATGTGGAGGCTGAAGTATGAGAAGGAGCGCTATCCTGCAGGAGAATTGTCCCTCTCCTGTGGTTTGTAATGTAATGGGCAGCACAGATGTCTTGATACCTCAGGCTGTTGATGTTGATCATCCACTCTGCAGATCTCTCGCACACCCCCATACTGATTGTAACCCCAAACCATGATATTTCCTTCACCAAACTTGACTGATTTATGTGAGAATTTTGGCTCCATGCTGGTTCCAGTAGGTCTTCTGCAGTGTTTGTGGTGATTGGGATGCAGATCAACAGATGATTCATCAGAGAAATCCACCTTCTGACACTTCTCCAAATGATCAACTAGAAGTCGAGTTATTATTTGTTGCTCTTATAACTGGGACTGACGACTTTTGTCAGGTAGTGTATAATTAGGCATACATAGATATGAAATTTTTAACCAATGCCAATAACTTTAGATTTGGAGGCCAATTGCCAATATATTAGCTGATAAATATGACATTTTCTCAGTTTTCTGCTTGGTTGCAAAAACTAAAGGTGAACACATACAGAGAAAAATTTATTTTATTTTAAAAGCTTAACTTTGGAAGAGTTTGAACTGATCTCTGAACTCTATTATTTTCCTTTTATATCAATAAAATCTATTGCCTGACAAAAGAATAAATTAAAAATGTAAAGATATATCGACCAACGCAATGAACAATATCCAAAATCAAAATATCAGTAAAATAATAAAACAGTGTCAGGCAGAAAGCATGTGAAGTGCCTCAACCAGTGGAAGCAATACATAACTGGCTTAACGATATCGGTATGATTTTTTTTAACTGGACCGATAACGATAATATTAAAAGTAGCATTTATCGGCCGATATCAATATGGCCACCGATATGTTGTGCTTCTTAATAAAATCTGTCTTTTTATTCATTAAAAAATCATGTAATTTAACAGATTTGGCAAATGCAGCACTAGTTTTAACTCTTATAATTATCATAAATATTTTTTAATCATGAAATCATCATATTACTGATTTCTGAATGATCACTGAAGACTGTAGTAATGATGTTAAAAATTCAGATTTCATCACAGGAATAAATTAAAAATGAAAACATATTCACATAGACAGCTGTTAATATAAATTGCAATAGCATTTCACTAGTTATACAGTATTTTTGACATTATTTGACATTGATGATGAGGGTCAAACCCTGGTCAGTAGTAAAACTCACCATCCAATGAGCTCCAGCCAACAGCTTCTCAAAGTTCTCATATCCTGCAACAGAAGGGATTGGACAGATGATTACGATTCGCTCAGACTGATTGGCTGTTCATGGCTGTTCACGCTCACCGATGTGAAGTGCAATGGACAGTCCAATGGCAGACCATAGGGAGTATCGTCCACCGACCCACTGCAAGTAAGTTAAGAGGTTAATTCTCCGTGACTTTTATTGAACTGACAAAAGTGTGACTTCCAGAGTTTTCACTAATTGATGCATTTAGTCAGTTTTTTGATTTCGACGGCTGCAGCACTCTCCAAACAGTTAGGACAGAAGTCAAATGCATATTGTGTTATCACATAATATTGCTGTATCAATAGTGAATCAAAGCAAATCAAAATTTTGGGGGGGTTTAAACAAATACCTAATCGCAGGCTAAGAGTATTGAAATCATATTGTGACAAGATGTACAATTTACAGCCCTAGCCGTGGTTTAAACTGACTGCAGTTCACTGAATGGCCACCGGTGTCACTAATAATAATTATAGCTATATAGAAAACCCAACCCAAGCTCATTCTGGAAACGTATCCCCGCGGATGTTTCTGGAGACTGCGATTTACGTGGCCGGAGGTACGTAAGGCCGTGTTTAGTTTTTTTCGAGCGAACGGTGCGGGGCGGTGTGGCGCCGCTTCACCCCTCCTCTTCGCGCTCGCCGGCCGACGGCTCGCCTCCAAGTGGAGGGCTTTCCCGATGCAACCAGTTTGTCCGCTTAGCTCACAGCGTTGCGTCGGCGGAGCGGAGGAGGAGGAGCCGGCCGCGGGGACGACGACCGGGATCGAGTCTGGGAAACAGCGGTTCCGGAAATCAAGTAAGAAGAAAAACGGAATCCGAAAAATAATGGCGAGAATGCGGCGGGATCTGAAAATGCGGTCGAAATCGAAGACGAGGGCTTTTGCTTTTTTTCTTTTTCTTCTGAATGGCTTTTGCGAACCGTCACTCGAATTTAGGGAAGGAGGAGGAGGAGAAGGAAGAGGAGGGCGGCCGAGTCGGCCAATCCGGCGGGATTGGGAAACAAAAACCGCTTGAATACGTACCTCCCGGGACGTAAATCGCGGTCCGCAGAAACGTCCGCGGGGCTACGTTTCCACAATGAGCCCGGGTTGCGAAAACCCATTATATTCATTTTTATTTTGCACCTTCGAGTTTTCAACCATGTAGTGTGCACCTTTTGTGTATTTTTAGCTTTAGTAAAAGTAGTTTATTTACGACGTACTGTATACACCGAAAGCTGTTGTGTTTCTGTTTCACATTTCTATTTGGTTAGAAAGATTAGGGGTTTAGGATTTCAGTTATAAGTGTTGATTTATTTTTATTTAGGCGCAACTATTATATTCAAACATACGTGCTTTGCCCCATATGGTCCAAAACCCCACAAGTGGACAAATCTAAACTTGTTTTTTATTAAAACAAATATAAATATGCATCTAATTAATAATACTGCTAATAATAATAACATTTACAAAAGCAAGTTGTCATAAATAAATATATATATATATTTTTTTATTTAGGCGCAACTCTAGTTATTTTTCCTTCCTTTGAACTTCATTATCATCATCATCATCATCATCATTAGTAGTAGTAATAGTAGTTCTGATATTCATAGTAACTATTAATCCCTGTTTTAGAACAAAACAATCGATCTACAGGTGTGAAAAGCACTTTAAAGACTAAAACTAATTCAAAATTTGCCATCCAAATGAACACTAATGCATCCTATAGAGGACATAACTGGGCATAGTAGGAACCTTGCCCTTTAAATATCAACAATGTGAGTAAAAGTAGCCTGTCGGCCTTTAGCGGTGACCTGCGGCTGGATAAGGTCAAGATCAGTAATAAGCGCTGGTGTGGGGATTGAGTGCAGAGACTCTGGTTACAGCAGCTGCTATGTACACACACACACACTTCACAAGGCAAACGCTCTGTAAAAATAGCATAGGCACACACTCACGTCCCAGAACTCAAACATGTTCTCCGGGTCGATGCCGAAGTCCTTCACTTTGGGCTGAAACACACACAGGAGTAAAGCTGGTCACTTTTTTAAATAAACTAAAACATATTAAAACATGTACACTGTAAAACATATCTGTTAATGAGCAGTTCAAGTGTGTTTTCTGTTTATTTCTGTTTTGTGAATTGCATTATGGGATGTTGATCTCTGCTCTGTCGACTTTTGATGTTGAAAATTCAACTCTACAGTTTAACAAAGTGACTTTATAATATAATAATAATATATAACATAATTATAATATATAATAATAATAATAGAATGTATAAGAAATAATAATATTTAGAGAAACAAGTCTGTAAAATAACAGAAAATGGGCTGTCAGTTTATTACAAGCTTTTATAGCGTAATATACAACACCAACACAGACAATAAAGCACTGCGAACTATTAAAAATGTTCATGAAAGTTACTTCTTTTCAACTGTTCAAGGTTAAAAGTTGTTGTAAGAAAGATGAAAATCCCATAATGCAATTCTAAACATGAATAAATGGGGAAAAATTAAAAAATAATCACAAAATGAATCACGAAATACGGAAAACTGCTAATACATGGATATTTTTTTCAGTGCATAGGGAAGTCCACTATATTCTAGGCATAGGACAATATCCGGTTTCAAGGTTTACTGCGGTTTGGAAAAGTCAAGGTTGCCGGCAGCTAGCTCTCTGCAACTCTCACATGGTCGCTCACTGAAGCTAAGCAGGGCTGCACCCAGTCAGTACCTGGATGGGAGACCAGTGGTGTTAGTGAGGCCTTCAGGGAGCGCCCAACCTGCGGTCTGTGTGGGTCTTAATGCCCCATTATAGTGACGGGGACTCTATACTGCTCAGTGAGCGCCGTCTTTCAGAGATTTTGCTCCATATTGCCATGATAGCATCACGCAGTCGCTGCAGATTTGTCAGCTGCACATTCATGATGCGAATCTCCCATTCCACCACATCCCAAAGCTGCTCTATTGGATTGAGATCTGGTGACTGTGGAGGCCATTTAAGTACAGTGAACTCATTGTCATGTTCTGTCTGAGATGATTCGCGCTTTGACATGGCGCTTTATCCTGCTAATAACAAGGCATTTGCGCCCACAGAACTGCCAATCACTGGATATTTCCTCTTTTTTTCAAATCATTCTCTGTAAACCCTAGTTTGTGCTTGAAAATCCCAGTAGATCAGCAGTTTCTGAAATACTCAGAGCAGCCCATCTGGCACCAACAACCATGCCACGTTCAAAGTCACTTAAATCCCCTTTCTTCCCCATTCTGATGCTCACTTTGACCTGCAGCAGATCGTCTTGACCGTGTCTACTTGCCTAAATGCATTGAGTTGCTGCCATGTGATTGGCTGATTACAAATTTGTGTTAATGAGCAGTTGGACAGGTGTACCTAATAAAGTGGCCAGTGAGTGTACATTTTTCACAGTAGTGCAAATCTGAATGAGAATGAACTTACTCCATTTGTAGAGAGCGCCACAAAATGCTTGGCTACTGCTGATGCCTTTGAGAAAAACAGAAATATTAATAATAATAATAATAAATGTATGAAGCTGGTGTGTAATGACCTCAGGAGATGCGGCTTACGTCTTTAGCGGCCTGCAGAAACCACTCTTTGGCAGATTCAGCGTTTGTGATGGTTTCCTGAGTGGTGAATGTCTAAAGGAGACAAACACAACACACACTATTGGTTAACTGCGTTACACATGATCGTATTGTGAAGTGTAGGGTGTCTGGAGACCTTGGATGCGATGATGAAGAGTGTGGTCTCAGCGTTGAGTTCAGCCAGAGTTTTAGCGATGTGTGTCCCGTCAATGTTTGACACAAACCAGACCCGCGGGCCGCCTTTAGAGTACGGCTTCAGAGCCTCGGTCACCATTAGCGGACCCTGAAACACACACAAACACCCTTGACAAAAATGTCTTGAGAGAGAGAGAGAGCTATTTCTGTGCTCTAGGACAGGGGTTCCCAAACTTTTCAGCCCGCGACCCCCAAAATAACAATGTCAGTGACTCGTGACCCCCATTTTTCAAAGTGGTTATACTGTAAATATGTAAACCTTGCAGACAAAACTATTGGCATACATAACCATGAACATACTGACAACACAAAATGCAACAGTCTATTAACCATGTAATGTTTTAAATAGTTGTTTATTAATTTAATTACATTTTAATATAAAAATTTAAGGTTGATGGCTGATTTTTATTCGTATGTTGTTGTTTCTGTAACACAATTATCTTCTGTGGGTTATGAATAAAAATAGATGGTAATTTAAAAAGTTTAATAAAATTAATTTGAGTTTTGGAAATCACCAAGCGACCCCTTGACCCCTTGCCAGGGGGTCTCGACCCCCACTTTGGGAACCACTACTCTAGGAGTGCTGCTCCTCACTGTGAAAAGCAATTTGTTGACTTTATACTATAAAAAAGTGTGAGTAAACCTTAACATTATTAAGTAAATTAAACATGTGCAGGGCGGCACGGTGCCTCAGTGGTTAGCACTGTCGCCTCACAGTAAGAAGGTCGCTGGTTCGAGTCCTGGCTGGCCTTTCTGTGTGGAATTTGTATGTTCTCCCCGTGTTATGTTTCCTCCGGGTGCTCTGGTTTCCCCTATACAGCCCAAACACATGCGCTATAGGTGAATTGGGTTAACAAGAATTGGCTTAAATGTATGAGTGTATGTGTGAATGTGAGAGTGTATGGGTGTTTCCCGGTACTGGGTTGAGGCTGGAAGGGTATCCGCTGCATAAAACATATGCCAGAATAGTTGGCAGTTTATTCCGCTGGACTGAAGCAGTGAATATTAATTCACGATGATGAAGGACAGAGGGTTGCTGAAGAACTGCTGAGAGATTTCAGCTGCTGTCTGGCCGTTCACTGACTTTTTACGCCCTCCTTTCTTCATGTGTTCAATACTTTTTCCTTGTGTCATTTCATTTTACTATGCATAACTTCATTTGTAAACTAATTAGTTTTGTTTTCTTTGCATATATGCATTTCTTTGGTTGTTATCAGCATCCGTAGAAAATTTCAAGTCAACGGCACCTTTAGAAATATACTTTCTGACCAAAAAGGGGGCGTGTTCAATACTTGTTTTTCCAGTTGTATACTATACAATCAAGCCCAAATTTTTTCATACCCTTGGGGTACAGAATATTCATTGTTTAGACATTTTTTTAAGTACATGTTTGTATAGATTCAATTGTTTTATTTTCTTAAATACTAAAATGTTTATGATAAAAGAATATTTTTTTTTTGGGCTGCACAGTGTGTAGCATGATCATCTCACAGCAAGAAGTTGATGGTTCGAGCCTCGGATGGGTCAGCTGGACTTACTGTGTGGAGTTTGCATGTTCTCCCCAGTGGGTAAGTTAATTTGTCCAGAGTGTATGAGTGTGTATGGTGTTTCCCAGTGATGGGTTGTAGCTGGAAGGGCATCCGCTGATAAGTTGGCGGTTCATTCCACTGTGGCGCCCCCAGATTAATAAGGGTACTAAGCCGAAAAGAAAATAAATGAACTTCTTTTATTTCAATTGTAAAAATCTGGATTTGGATTTACTTGATTTTTTTGGTATGGATTGAGTAAAATGTCGAATGAGTGTGTATAGATGTTTCCCAGAGATGGGTTGCAGCTGTAAGGGAATCTACTGCGTAAAACATATGCTGGAAAAGTTGGAGGTTCATTCCACTGTGGCGACCCCTGTTTAATAAAGGGACTAAGCTGAAAAGAAAATGAGTGAATGAGTTAAATGTCAATAGTTTTATTTTTAAGTTCTGATAACATTTATTCCCTCTAATTTTATATTCAAATATCGTCATTTAGAGCCGTGTTTCTCAACCACATTTCTGGAGAACCACCAACACTGCATGTTGTGGAAGTCTCCTTTGTCTGTCACATCCATTACAGGTCATTTAGTCTGTGCTAATGAGCTGATGATCTGAATTAGGTGTGTTTGGTTAAGGAGACATGGAAAATGTGCAGAGCCAGTGTCCTCCAGGTGTGTGGTTGAGAAACAGGGATTTAAAGCACAAACGTGATTCATCAAATGAGAACTCTACAGAATATTGTTAATGAAAGTTATGTTAAAATAACTAGTTAAAACATTGGTATTTCATTTTTTCAATGAACATACTAAATGTGTCTGAAAATTCCTGGTCTTGAGCAAGAGCGCAGAAGTAGAAGAGTAAGATCATGCAGGATATAGAAATTTGATTTGACAAACCAGATCAGATCCACCAATGCCCACATTAACCACATCCGTGATGGATTTCCCAGTGAATCCCTTCCACTCGCCACTGCGGACTTTCTGATATGGGAAGAAAAACATGACTTACACAGTAGATTTATACAGCAGTTAAACCTCTTCACATCTGATCTTTGTGTTTCTGCACCACTGAAATCTGACTCACATGACAGAATCCTTTCATCTTCTCCAGAACCTTGTTGACCTCCGGCATCACGTCTTTCCCGTCCACATGTATAGGAGTGTTTGAGCGGTTCCTCAGAGCCACATGGAGAACAGCACGACCCTGCAGCATTTACAGTTCAACACTGCATTATGAGCCTTTACATTGTTCATTTTCATTCTTTTAAAAATATTTACACACAGTTTAAACCAGAAGTGTACATACACTCTAAAAAAAGGAACATAACCATTAAAAAAAATGTCTGATGGTAAATCATACTAAACGTTTACTATTTTAGGTCCGTTAGGATTACCTAAATAATTTACATTTGCTTAATGCCAGAATAATGAGAGAATTTTTAGATATTTTTTTAAATTAATTTCTAGCCAGTCAAAAGTTTACACACATTTCCTTGGTATTTTTTAGCTTTGCTTTTAAACTGTATAACTTTGGTCAAAAGTTTTGGGTATCCTTCCACAAGCTCCTCACAATAGCTTGAAGGAATTGTTTACAAGAATTGGTGTAACTGAGTCAGATTTGTTGGCTGTCTTGCTCGCACAAGCTTTTTCAACTCTGCCCACAAATTTTCTATAGGATTGACATCAGGGCTTTGTGATGGCCACTCCAAAACATTCACTCTGTTGTCCTTAAAGCACATTTGAACTAATTGGCAGTATGCTTAGGGTCATGGTCTGTTTGGAAGAGTCATTTGTGGCCAAGTTGTAATGTCCTGGCTGATGTCTTGAGATGTTGCTTCAGTATTTCTCCATAATGTTCTGTCTTCATGATGCCATCTATGCTGTGAAGTGGACCAGTCCCTCCTGCAGCAAAACAGCCCCACAACATGATGCTGCCACCCCCAAACTTCACAGTTGGGATGGTGTTTCTAGGCTTGTAAGCTTTCCCCGTTGTCCTCCAAATGTAACACTGCTCATTACGGCCAAACAGTTCAATCTTAGCTCCCTCAGAGCACAGGACATGTCTCCAAAAAATGTTTGGGCTTCCACTGCCAAAGTACACCTTCCTTTCTTTATGCCTTCAATACTTTTCCCCTGTGTCATTTAATTTTGTTACACATAACTTCATTTGTAAACTAGTTAGTTTTCTTTGCATATGTGGATTTCCTTGGTTGTTACCAACATTCAGGGAAAATTTCAAGTCAACAGGACCTTTAGAAATATGCTTTCTGGCAAAATGGTGACGTGTTCAATACTGTATTTAGCTACAGAACAAAACACTGTAGTCCAATGACTTGCCTAGTTAATTTAACCTAGTTTAGCCTTTAAATCGCACTTTAAGCTCAATACTAATATCTAAGAAAAAGTAAAAATCTAGATATTGAGTAAAAACTAAAATGTACTGTCATCACAAATAAATTAATAAATTAATTCATTAATTAAATATTAAATAAATTATTTATAATTTTTTTGTCATATTGCTTAGCCCTAAAATAATATCCATACTTTATATGTAGCATGCATAGTATATAATGCATGTCCAAACAGATCTCAACTCATTTCAGACCATAAAAACCGAAAATTTGCAGTTTGTTTGGAGAATGCATTGATTTAAATCCAGACACACAAACATGTGAAGTACCTCAGTGAAATTAATCTTTTCTCCTGAAAACATCTTGTCTCTGGACGCCTCCACGCCTCGAGACTTTGCCTGAGAGAAAATGAATAATTAATGATAATAGTTTCATTCAGAGCATGGTTTAGAGTGTGAGGATCATTAAGTTGAACTGTACCAGCTCCACGAGCATCTTCTTAACTTCTTCATTGATGAGGTTTTTGGAGTAATCCAGCAAAATATCTCCTTCGTCTGTTTTTAATGTTAGGCTGTAGAAAATAGATGATTTTTCAGATGACAATAAAATACTTTAAAGCTAAAATCACAATGCAAAATCTGTTGCCTGGATGGATAATCATGCATTATAAAATAAATAAATAAATAATAATAATAATAATAATAATAATAATATATATATTTTTTTTATATATATAATATATAAATATATATATATCTTTCAGTGTATTTAAAACATTTATAATTTCATAACATATTAAAAGATTCTACATGAGGATCACAGTTAAGCCAAAAATGTATTTATTGTCACCTGCAATGTTCTCTACAGTACATATATTGCCTTATTATTCAAAATAGCCCATGATTTTTCCTTTGCCCATTTGTCAGTAAGAGGTTTTTAATAATTTGATATAGAACAAAATGTTAAATAATCACTTCTTCTTATTATATTTTTCAATAACCAGAGAAGGCAGAGATATGTTGTGTGATTTTTACATTAGTATTATGCTAAATGATAATTATTTCACCTGCATTTTGACATTTTATTTTGACAAAAGTTATTTAAAACATGAAAATGGAGATTTTAGTTGCATTTAATTGGACCTCATTTAATGTAATGTATCATAATAAACATATTATATTATATTATATTATATTATATCATTTATTATTTGAAACATTAAATTAGACTGTTTAATTGCATTTAATTGGACCTCATATATATATATATATATATATATATATATATATATATATATATATATATATATATATATATATATATATATATATATATATATATATATATATAATGTGTCATAATAAATATTCTATCATATTATATTATATTTTATTATATGATATGGATTAAATATATAATTTCTATATATATAAAATGAAGAATTTAATTGCATTGAATTAGACCTTACTTAATCACTTCTTTATTTATCCTATAAAATCTAATATAATATAATATAATATAATATAATAATAGCAATTTAATATAATCATATATAAATGAATAATTTATTTAATAATACAAATTTTTACGGTTTTAAGTTATTTGAAATATTAAAATCGACACTTTAAATGTACTTAAATTATTATTGTAATTTTACAACGCTGAGCTCTTTTATAGCGAGCGTGGGCGGGGCTTAACGATGATTAGCAGAACGGAAAAAAGACCCGCCCACTATATTTATCGTATGAACTCTGGAGGACTTGATTTTAAATGTGATGTTATAGAAAGATATAAAACGAATTTGTCATTAACTAATTAAAATAAAACAGTAGTCTAGATATATGCATAAAAGCCTACCTGAACTTTTGGAATCGGGTTTTATCCTCCTCGAACATCTGCCTCATGTTGAGATTGGCGGCGTTGGATTTGTACCATTTCTCCAGATTCTGGAAGTTCGGGTCGCTTGTCAGTCCCATTGTGACGAGTGTAGAGCGCGTGTGTGTTTGTGTGTGACTGTGGAAAACCTCCGGCTGAACTGAGCCCAAATGTCACAGTCACAGATCGGCTTTATGAAGGGCGAAGAAGGCAGCTGAACTCTCTCTCTCTCTCTCTCTCTCCCTCTGTCTCTCTCTCTCTCTCTCTCTCTCTCTCTCTCTCTCTCTCTCTCTCTCTCTCTCTCTCTCTCTCTCTCTCTCTCTCTCTCATGACAAATGATACAAATGTATTGGCAAAGCTTTTAAAAAGTTTACATTAAAAAAGAATATACATATACAATGGTACAATTTTGTAAACACAAGCAAGAAGGTCGCTGGTTCGAGCCTCAGCTATTTATTAGGTTCAATTAAATCAATAAAAGTGCCCATTTTAATGTTTCAACTTATGTAAAAAAAATGCTTTAATATATTTTTATAATGCAATATATTTTATTATTATATTATTTTATATTACATAACTTCAGAAGTAATTTATTATATTTATGATATGATATTATATCATATCATATCATATCATATCATATCATATTATATTATATTGTAATTATTATTTTATAATTATTATATTATATGTATTATATTATAATTATTATATTATAATATATTTATTATATTACAATATATTTATTATATTATATTGTATGTATTATATTATATTCATTATATTATATTATATTTATTATATTGTATTTATTATAATATATTTATTATAATATATTTATTATATTAATTATATTATATTAATTATATTATATTATATTATATTATATTATATTATATTATATTATATTATATTATATTATATTATATTATATTATATTATTATCTTTATGGATGTGGCGCCCTCTATCGACAAGTAAACGACACTAAACATGTTTGTGCTTTTGCATGTTGAACACTAGAGGACAGAGAAGTCCATCACATCAAATCCCTCAATCACAACACACGGAATCAGCTATTCAGAACAATTGTTTTAAAATGTTCAATTTAAAAAGAGCGTAGTCTTGAATACCAGCTCTATTTGTTTAAATAAATAACTACTTTTTTGGTGCCCGTGCTTTGTTACACCAAAAAAAAGTGTCAGATTATTTTTTATACATCACAAAAGCATTTGAGGGGAGGCAGTGGTGCAGTAGGTAGTGCTGTCGCCTCACAGCAAGAAGGTCGCTGGTTCGAGCTTCAGCTCAGTTGGCATTTCTGTGTGGAGTTTGCATGTTCTCCCTGCCTTCGCGTGGGTTTCCTCTGGGTGCTCCGGTTTCCCCCACAGTCCAAAGACATGATTAAATAACTTTTAGTGTTTTATTATGCCAGAAAAGTGTCTGATGTCTATTAATATGTTTTTATACGATATAATACCAATGTTTTAACTTCAGAAGAGATAATTAAAGTAATGTTAGAATAGCCCTAATTTTCTCTCACAACAAAAGAAATCAGTTGTTATTCGTCCAAAAACGTATTACAAAATATGAAGTAGTTTGTAGTTTGTGTAGTTTTCTTATTATTTATATTTAACAAAACCTAAATTACTACTATACTTTCTTAAATAACAGCTTTATTTGTTTAAATAAATAACTTTTAGTGTTTTATTACGCCTAAAAAGTGTCTAATGTCTATAATAATTAGTTTTATATAATATAGTACCAATGTTTTAAATTCAGAAGACATATTTAAAGCAATATCAGGTAGAATAGGCCTAATTTTCACTCACAATAAATGAAATCAGTTGCTATTCTGAACAAAACATCCAAAAACATATTACGAAATATGAAGAAGATCTGATACGACTGGAGTTTCATTGTTGACTTTTTTTCATTGTTGAAGACCTACAGTAATAAGAGTGAAGTTTTCTTATTATTTTTATTTAACACAAACTTAAATTACTACTGTGCTTTCCTAAATACCAGCTTTATTTGTTTGATTAATAACTACTTTTTTGTGTTATATTATGGCAAAAATGGTGTTGAATGTCTATATTAATTGTTTTTTTACATCACAATACAATTTATTTTATCTTCTGAAGAGATAATTAAAGTAATAATAGATAGAAGAGCCCTAATTTTTTACTCACAACACATGAAATCAGTTGCTATTCTGAACAGATCACAGAATATGAAGAAGATCTAAGTGGAGTTTCATTGTTATTTTTATTTAACACAAACTTAAATTACTAATATACTCTCTTAAATACCAGCTTTATTTGTTTAATTACATAGTTACTTTTGAGTGCCCGTGTTTATTTATTTTTTTATTTTTTTATTTTTTACGCCAAAAGAGTTTTTAATGTCTATATTCATTGTTTTTATACAAAACAATACCAATGTTTTGATTTCAGAAGAGTTCATTTAAGCCATATTAGGTAGAATAACCCTAATTTCCACTCACAACAAATTAAATCAGTTGCTATTCATCCAAAAACTTATTACAAAATATGAAGAAGACTTAATAAGAGTGAAGTTTTATTATTATTTTTATTTAACACAAACTTAAATCACTACTATACTTTCTTAAATACTACCTTTATTAACTTAATTAAATAACTACTGCAAGTGCCCGTGCTGTGCTCATAGGCTTTGGTATGTGCGGACGCGCGCATTGCTCGTGCTTGTGCATTGTAGACGCGCGCTCGGAAGCGGAGCTCCGTCATTTCCTCTCTCCACAGACAGGAGGGTGGGGACAAACAGCTGGTAAGTGATGCCGTGATCCGACCGCCGAGCGGGCTGTTTTTCACACCGATTACCGCCTTTCCCGGAGCCACCACAGGTAGGAATTTCGTCCGTTAACCGCCGCCGTCTCAGAGCGGCCGCGAGCGCGTGTGTTTTGGCGCTTTGATGTGTTTTTCCAATCCGTGTCAACGAGAGCTGCTAACGGCTAACTGAGATTAGCTCCATAAACACTGATGATTTTTGGTGAAAATCGTCCGAATCCGTTAAAAGTGTGGTGTTAAAAGCGGGAAACGACAGAAGGAGGATGTTAAAGTGATATTTGAGGGGCATCAGGCGTGTGTGTGGGATGTTAAGGGCTTTAGGTTCATCTGTATCAGCATTGAGCCGTTTAAACCTCTTCAAAATCTGCTGCAGTCTGACTGACTGATCTTAATTACTCCAATTAACGGCGTAATTAACTGCCTCCAGGGTCCCTAAATTACACCATGGCTAGAGACCCTTCAACGCCCTGAAAAAGCAGTGATACGCTTGACTGCAGCTCTTTAACACCCTAATGACAGCCAACGGGTGTCACACACACCCAGACCCCAAGGGTGACACTGGCGATGGGTCACTGATATTCAGATTGGGGTAGAGTTGGATTTACATACGCACGTTCAGACTTTCTCCTTAACAATATGATTTCAGACAAGGTATTCTTAGCAAATACTTGATAGTGAAATCATATTAGCAGACTATAGTTATCAGTACACCATTGTTCACAGTTAATTAAATAGTGCTGCCGTTGTTTTGAAGTCATACTTGCATGCGATTTCAGACCCAATAATCAAAGTAGCGTCACAGGTTGTCACATTAGTTCAAAACGAACTATTGTGTTAATATTAAACCAACTTCAATGAGATTAAGGGTGTTAAAACGGTGGAAACCTCTCGATTTTATGTCAAACAAGAGCATATTGCTGTTTAGATCAGTGCATTACAATATACACTTGGCTTTTTGTCATCATATCACTCCATTGAAAATGTGTGACATATACAGTACATAGATATGTAGTCCACAATATGGGGCAAAGTCTTGATAGGATACAGCTGCGGATATGCAGATTAATATAGCATCATTTTTGTAACAGTGTATAATAATTAATATCTTTATAGTACTGTGATGGTTGAGTTTAGGGTTGTGGTGGAGGTAGGTGTTAATTAAATCCAACTTGTTGGGTAATTTAATAAACTACATAAATAATACTCTTTACAACTACTGTTTTTACATTACTGTGGCCGTTGGGGTAAATTACATGAAGTTAACCCGAAAATAACACTTTGCAAATTATAATTTTGAGACCAGGCATGAACAAACTGTCCATACTAAATGTCGAATTGGACTTTCTAGGTTGACTCATTTGTATTTACTGAATAACAAAGCAGCCTAAAATGTTACACATTTTGTTTGAATGTGGAAGTTTGAATACCGTTAGACAACATTTTCATAAGGAGAGTATTTTGATGGATATTTTTAAGAAGCTACCACCAGGAAGAATCTTAAATTATTGATCAAAAATTTAACTGAAAAATCATATTTAACTTTGAATATGTTTTTGTGTGGATTTTATTGAATTCTATTTTATATATTTCGTCTAAGTAACTTTTTATTGTAATACGAATTTGTGTTTTTGTCATGTAATATTTTTATGTATATCCATTTTGCTATGAAATAGCCATAATTTGCTGATGTGGCAATAAATAAATAAATAAATTCAGCAGGGTTTTTTCACACCTTTATTTTGGAAAAAGTCAGGAAAGTGGGTGTGTCCAGCTCTGTTTATGGGGAGTGTTGGAGGAGGGAAAGAGGGAAGGTGCATAAAAATTAGCATAAAAATAGGAGTTTTAATTTGGGCATGCGCTGATTTTCACAGAGACAAAACAAACACAGACGCAGAGCAGAAAGACAGGTACTGTTTATATGGAGATCAGTAATCAAATTATTTGACAATTTATTAAATGGTGGACTTTAACTGCAGTTTGGCTCTTTCATTTAGGAACATTTTATTCGTGACACATGCCTCTTGTGACAAACGAGATATTTGATTCGAGGAATTGCTGGAAGCGTGTATTCTTAATGCAATGTTTGTTACCGCACGGCAAAGGAGCGAAAAAAAAAAAAAAAAAAACCTCCTAATTTCTCAGTAACTTAAATGCACTCAGTAGATAGTGTCAGAAAGCTGTGTGTGTTATTCCTGTCACAAAATGTGACGGTATTAGTTTGATTGCGGTGTTTACATGTATACGCTCGGAGAGCAGCAGATCTTTCAGCCCATAATATTGTAGTGATATTAACATACTGTTAACTTTAGCAACTTAGAAATCATTTTGACTAAGGTCTGTCTATAAACACTAAAAGATTACTGCTTACGATACAAACTAACTTTACCATCTGAATAAACAAACAAAGACCTCTTATCGCTCACTTACCAAATCTGAAGAGGCTGAACAATCAACACTAACTGGAGCCGTGTCTTTATTAAGAGGAGACAAGCAGCAAATTTGGATTTCACCATTTCCAGATGCGAAAAGCTCTCGAGTAAAAATATTCCTTAGACACGCGAGTCCAGCTGCGCTCTCATAGAGCAAAAATGGAAACAAAACCTTCATTACAGCACATTTATGAACGCAACACTGACGACCCGTACCTCCAAACAATTCTATTTATCCCACTTTTTTTGGGAACACAACATGGCGTCTCTCTGCCGTCTGAACACTGTAACAGGTCTTCAAAGCTATCATGCATATTAATGAAGTTACACCACATACACAATAGAGCTGATTGGTTTAAACCAAATCTTTTTCATGAATGAATGCAGCACACTCAGAGACTCCCAAATACAGACGTCCAGTCTACATGCTGGAATACACACTCTAATCGGCGTGACGCAGCTTCAAAAAATTTTTCAAACCAGAACAACCCATTTGCTCGAAATAACGCAAAAACAACCATTTTGGACTGTTTTGTAAAATGTATGTGTCCTTATTGTGTTTATAGCAGCATGGGGCACATATATGAGTGACTGTTCACAGCTCAAAGCATGCGTTTTGGTGATTCGTGACCCTTTAAGGCCGCAACTGTATCTGATCTAGCAACAACCACAATATGGTTTATAACTGCAGGTTAAAGGGATGATTCACCTAGAAATGAAAATTTGCCCACTATTTATTTAATCACCTACAAGTAATATCAAACCTTTCTTTTATTCTGTTGAACACAAAAGAAGATATTTTGAAGAATGCTTCCATAGTATTTTTAGTATGGAAGTCAATGGTTGCAGGATTTAAACTTTCTTCAAAATATATTCTTTTGTGTTTAAAAAAGAAGTAAAGGGTGAATAAACGATGGGGTAATTTTCAGTTTTGGCTGAACTATCCCTTTAACTGTGTGTATGATTGACCGCTGTACTGTCCATGCTCTTTCTCTCTTTCTGAGTTGATTGTAATTTATAAATGTGTGCATTTTGAAAAGCTGTTTTGCATTGGTGGTTATTGAGAAAAGCACATTGTGTCATTAATCAGACTTCTTGATTGAGGTATCGATGGCTCTGGTGTGGATTAGTAGGCAGTTCAGTTCTACACAACTAGTCACAGACAGTCTTGTGAGTGTGTCAGAGGATGTGTCAGGAGGATCCAGATTCCTGTAGTGGTTCTAGCGGCTGCAGCTCTCAGAATATTTCAGGATATTTATACTCAACAGCACACCAGTGTAACCCTGTGAGTAGCTTAAATTACACGTTGCAGTGTGAAGTTCACTGTATTTGTCGCCCGTGGATGAAAAAGATTGCCGGAACATTTTTGTTCTGTTATATTTGGATTTGTTTTGATTATTTAAGCTATGTAAGTTATTAGTTTCATTTCAGGATTATGGGTTTTATGTTGAGTGTTTTGAGCTAAAGGGATAGTTCACTTAAAAATGGATTTTCATTCACGATTTACTCAACATTCACTTGACTTGAACGTTTATGCATTTCTTTCTTCCACACAAATGATGATATTCTTGAAAAATGTTGGAAATCTGTAACTAGGGCTGCATGACATTGGAAAAATCTGTAGGTTTTCTGCGATGCATATTGCAATTTCACCAGATGACTTGAATAGCTCTTTTTGGAAAAGATAAACCTGAATTAAAGCTGCACGATTCTGGCTAAAATGAGAATCACGTTTTGCTTAAAATAAAGATCACGATTTTCTCACGATTATGTAAAATAAAGGTGTGGTAAAAACAAACATATGGCACAACATCGATAATAATATGATGTGTAGGTCTACTGGTTTCTATAAATAATTCTATTCTACTTATAATAATTCTGATGTTGAATTATTATGTTTGAGATAAATGCTTGCAATCTGTCATATTAGACAATTTTATTCACTGGTAAAATCAGACATTTGCCATTATCAGATTATATTCAACAATATATAGGCTAGAGTAGTTATACTGACATTGTAAACATTAATTTTCATGCACAACTGTGGGTTCGCTATGAAAGAAAAAACAGATCAAATGCATGCCATAATCATAACTCTAAAATGCGATATGATCATTTATTTTTATTTTATTTATTTATTTATTTATTTTAAGGGTTTTCACCTTTATTGATAGGACAGTGGAGATATAGAGACAGGAAAGTGTGGGGAGCAGAGATCGGGGAAGGATCAGCAAAGGACCTCGAGACGGGAATCGAACACGGGTCGCTGCGAGCACCTCGGTGCCATGTGTCGACGCACTAACCACAAGGCTATTGGCGCCAACGCGATATGATCATTTAAACGAAGTGCACACTTTCGGTTTCATTTTGACTGCTAATCCTAAGTGGTTGTTCATACTTCGCGCACGGCTCCCAAACGATCACTCTGTGCCACAAACTGACTATTATTTACAACTTTATTACCTGTTAATCGCAACATATGCAGGTTCTGTACACTAAAGTACACGCGCGCGCGTCTATCATTAGAACGCGTGCGCACCCTCTTTGTGATAATCAGCAGCTCACGTCACGTGTGATTTCCTGATGGCGAAAACATCATTATATTAAGGCAAAAATAATTTTTAGGT